TCCCTTAAAGTATCCTATTTTGTTGTTACAATCGTGTGATATACACTTAATTTGTTTGGCAGAGGGTCCTTTGGGCGTTTAGAGCTATCCCTCAACCCTTGACCTGCTAAGTTCTATTTAGGTTCAGTCCACATAAGCCCAAGGTTCTATTTTTCGTCTGACTAATACCGCTACTTATGGTAAATGATAGTAATACACAGTAATAAATAATGATAATGCATGGTAACGATAATGGTAACAGTGGTAATAATACGAGTGATAGTAATGGTAATAGTAGTAATGTAAATATAGTAGTTGGCCGTAAATGATTAGGGGTTGGAATCTCAATGACACATCATGATAAATAAACAATTATTAAACACAATCACTGGCATTTTTGAAATAATCAGCGGCTAAGAACCTTCTTCCTAAGAAGGGATGCTGTGCTTTGTTAATGAGTCTTCCATGTCACATTCGTATTCAATCTGTTTGTTTGATATTTGATGTTAGGAGATGTCATCGGGCGTTATCAATATTTTGCTCAGGCGATTCCATTACTTTCTATTCGGAACCGGTTTCGCGTACGTAGTCCGTACGTTCGTTGTGAATGTAATCGGTGAGGGAGCGTTTTGCGAGGGATCTTTAGGGAGCGATGATCAAAAACATGTTTATTGTGGGTTTCAAATATTTCTTTCCAAAAACTTGCTCATTGTGGGTTTCAAATATTTCTTTCGTTCCTGAGTACATTAGTCATAAAGGCTACCCATACAATTAATGAAAGGGGTTGTAAATATAGTTTTAGTGAAGGATGTTTGGAAAATTATTTTTGTGCTGGGAAAATGTTAAATGTGATGGAATCCTCTGGCCGATCCCATTCTGACCCTCTGAGGGCAGTCTCTCAGTAACAATTTGTATGAGGTGGGATCATGTAATTGCTCTTATTCTACATTCTGAAGACAATTTTGTCGTAGCCCATTGGAAGATACGTAAGCTCCTTGCCTTTTATGTTTGTCCACATTGTCGTCGTAATTGTGAGGTGGAACCGTCGCGATGGAAGCTGTCATCACTTTATGGCCCTACAATGTCATTACTAGGGCTTTTTGTGTACGAAAGTTTTCGCGAACACTTTTCTCAGCCGACGAGCGTCCACTTCACTCCATGCTTAGCGGGCTTTTATACCCATTTCCTTCGATTCAGTTGAGCAGGAGGTAATCAAAGTGCTAGTATGGGGCTAAATTGAAGTATTGGGAGTTTGTTTAGCCATAAAGGATTAACCCTTCAAGTCAGCTGTCCTTTCTTCAATTAGAAGAGCAGAACAGTGGACCATGGAAACGCTAACTTGGAGTCACGCTTTGATGGGACCCTGCTATATTGTTGGACAGTTAGGGTTTCAAGCCGTATCAAGAAGTTTGTCCTTCTGTCAGTGCTCTTATGGTGGTGTTTAGATATGTCGTTACATTAGGAATGATGATGTTTACATGTTGCTCCTGACCAAGC